GACTGAGGAAAACAGAAGGGGCATATACAGAAAGCGACAAGGAAATCTGCGAGGTACTGAATGCAAAATTCCATGGAGTGTTCACAACCGAGCCTGAGCAGCTCCCATTGTTAGAAGAGATTACCCAAGATGAAAGACTATCAGATATAGAGGTGACAGCAGAGGATGTAATGAAACAGTTGACAACACTGGATGCAAATAAAGCTGTTGGACCAGACAAAGTATCATCGTGGATACTTAAAGAGGCAGCGCAGGCTCTCAGCGTGCCTCTGGCAATGATCTTTAATGAGTCACTTATGTCGGGAGAATTGCCCAGTTGCTGGAAGGAGGCAAATGTCGTACCGATTTTCAAAAAGGGTGATAGGGAGGAGGCACTTAACTACAGACCCGTATCACTGACAAGCATCCCCTGCAAAATACTTGAAAGAATAATTAGGCTAAGACTTGTTGAGCACCTGGAGAGCATTGGGTTTGTAAACAAGCACCAACATGGGTTCTGGACAGGGAAATCATGCCTAACAAACCTTTTAGAATTCTATGATAAAGTAACAAGGATAAGGCAGGACAGAGAAGGCTGGGCAGACTGCATATTTCTTGACTGCCAAAAGGCCTTTGATACGGTACCGCACATGAGACTGCTATACAAACTTGAGAGGCAGGCAGGAGTAAGCGGAAAGGCCCTAGTATGGGTGAAGAACTACCTAACAGGAAGGAGCCAGAGGGTAATGGTAAGGGGCGAAAAGTCAGACTGGCGAACAGTAACAAGTGGAGTACCTCAAGGATCGGTGCTGGGACCAATCCTCTTTCTAATTTAGTTAAATGATATGTTTACAGGAGTGGAATCATACATGTCAATGTTTGCAGATGACGCAAAATTAATGAGAAGAGTTGTGACAGACGAGGATTGTAGGATCCTCCAAGAGGACTTAAACAGGCTGCAGAGATGGTCAGGGAAATGGCTTCTGGAGTTTAACACCAGTAAATGTAAAGTTATGGAAATGGGATCAGGTGACAGGAGACCAAAGGGACAGTACACAATGAAGGGGAACAGCCTACCTGTAACGATTCGAGAAAGAGACCTGGGAGTGGATGTGACACCTAATCTAACTCCTGAGGCACATATAAATAGGATAACGACAGCAGCGTACTCTACACTGGCGAAAATTAGAACTTCATTCAGAAACCTAAATGAGGAAGCTTTTAGGGCGCTTTACACTGCCTACGTGAGACCCGTCTTAGAGTATGCCGCGCCATCATGGAGCCCCCACCTGAAGAAACACATAAAGAAACTGGAGAAGGTTCAGAGGTTTGCGACGAGGCTTGTCCCAGAGCTACGAGGGATGGGATATGAAGAGCGGCTGAAGGAACTGAACCTTACGACACTAGAGAAAAGAAGGGAGAGAGGAGATATGATAGGGACATATATAATACTCAGGGGAATTGACAAAGTGGAAATAGATGAAATGTTCACACGTAATAATAACAGAACGAGGGGACATGGGTGGAAACTGGAAACTCAGATGAGTCACAGAGATGTTAGGAAGTTTTCTTTTAGCGTGAGAGTAGTAGAAAAATGGAATGCACTTGGGGAACAGGTTGTGGAAGCAAATACTATTCATACTTTTAAAACTAGGTATGATAGGGAAATGGGACAGGAGTCATTGCTGTAAACAACCGATAGCTAGAAAGGCGGGATCCAAGAGTCAATGCTCGATCCTGCAAGCACATATAGGTGAGTACACACGTCCCTGAACGACCACACGTCCCTGAACGACCACACACGTCCCTGAACGACCTCAACACGTCCCTGAACGACCCCAACACGTCCCTGAACGACCACACGCGTGAGAGAGGCGGCCGGCGCCGCTCGATACCGGACTGTTATCGCGTCTACTTGGCACTGTTATCATAATAATTATCTTGCCTCCGGTTATATTGCTCTGCGGCGCCGTTATGCCTGTAATTACACTGTATGTTACATGACGCCTCAATACAGTTTCATACGATAAAATACAAAATTTATCGACACGATACATTTCATGCCATGCAAAGAATACAAGTATACAAAATCCGTAAAATACAACACAGCAGAAAGATGTGATAAATTAGAGTAAAATTTAATACAATGTACTGTAGGGAAATACAGCTGGGATTTTAGCTGCAAGTTCATCTTGTAAGAGTTGTATGACAATGAGATATACGGTTTACTAAACCTAAGAGTATATTTGGGCCTCGAGGTTGCGGGACTGGAGTATGTTATAGGTATACTGGGTTCAGATATATATCCAACTGCATAATGCACCAGGTATGCTAGGTAAAGTGGCTTGGAACTTGGGTATGCTGTGAGGCTGGGATATGCTACAGGTATACTGGGATGAGGTACTTACTAACGGGCATGAGATCTATTGGACTGGGGGTATGCTCGTATGCCTTGGGGTATAAAATAACAGAAAATACGTAGTAACTCTTCGTTATCGTCGAATTGATAACATAAAACAAGTTATCTACCTGCATTTTCCAGTAGCATATTATACCACTGTCTGGGGCCGGTTCTGGAACCGGTTATGAATGCACTTAAAAATATTACCAAGTGGAGCAGGAAGCGTTGTGAAAGTGATTATGTAACTTCACAGGAATACGCTATAAACATTAACCAGGACTCCGCTGGACGTCACCGGAATACTTGACAAAATTCGGTTTGACCTTCGAAACGGCCGAGATATTACCATACACGGAACCTTCATCAAAATTACAAGATACATCACCCAAAATATATTTGACTCACGTGAAATCTCTCACAAACAGAATGAAAATATATTAATATAAATAGAGATATGTTGTTGAGAACGCGTCTGTAATTCACCAATTGTTTTTCAGTCACCTTCTTCCTCAAATACAGTCACCTTCTTCCTCAAAAACAGTCACCTTCTTCCTCAAATACAGTCACCTTCTTCCTCAAAAACAGTCACCTTCTTCCTCAAATACAGTACAGTCACCTTCTTCCTCAAAAACAGTCACCTTCTTCCTCAAATACAGTCACCTTCTTCCTCAAAAACAGTCACCTTCTTCCTCAAAAACAGTCACCTTCCTCAAAAACAGTCACTCTTCCTCAAATACAGTCACCTTCTTCCTCAAATACAGTCACCTTCTTCCTCAAAAACAGTCACCTTCTTCCTCAAATACAGTCACCTTCTTCCTCAAAAACAGTCACCTTCTTCCTCAAAAACAGTCACCTTCTTCCTCAAATACAGTCACCTTCTTCCTCAAAAACAGTCACCTTCTTCCTCAAATACAGTCACCTTCTTCCTCAAAAACAGTCACCTTCTTCCTCAAAAACAGTCACCTTCTTCCTCAAATACAGTCACCTTCTTCCTCAAATACAGTCACCTTCTTCCTCAAAAACAGTCACCTTCTTCCTCAAATACAGTCACCTTCTTCCTCAAAAACAGTCACCTTCTTCCTCAAAAACAGTCACCTTCTTCCTCAAATACAGTCACCTTCTTCCTCAAATACAGTCACCTTCTTCCTCAAAAACAGTCACCTTCTTCCTCAAATACAGTCACCTTCTTCCTCAAAAACAGTCACCTTCTTCCTCAAATACAGTCACCTTCTTCCTCAAAAACAGTCACCTTCTTCCTCAAAAACAGTCACCTTCTTCCTCAAATACAGTCACCTTCTTCCTCAAATACAGTCACCTTCTTCCTCAAATACAGTCACCTTCTTCCTCAAATACAGTCACCTTCTTCCTCAAAAACAGTCACCTTCCTCAAATACAGTCACCTTCTTCCTCAAATACAGTCACCTTCTTCCTCAAATACAGTCACCTTCTTCCTCAAAAACAGTCACCTTCTTCCTCAAATACAGTCACCTTCTTCCTCAAAAACAGTCACCTTCTTCCTCAAAAACAGTCACCTTCTTCCTCAAAAACAGTCACCTTCTTCCTCAAAAACAGTCACCTTCTTCCTCAAATACAGTCACCTTCTTCCTCAAAAACAGTCACCTTCTTCCTCAAATACAGTCACCTTCTTCCTCAAAAACAGTCACCTTCTTCCTCAAATACAGTCACCTTCTTCCTCAAAAACAGTCACCTTCTTCCTCAAATACAGTCACCTTCTTCCTCAAATACAGTCACCTTCTTCCTCAAATACAGTCACCTTCTTCCTCAAAAACAGTCACCTTCTTCCTCAAATACAGTCACCTTCTTCCTCAAAAACAGTCACCTTCTTCCTCAAATACAGTCACCTTCTTCCTCAAATACAGCCACCTTCTTCCTCAAATACAGTCACCTTCTTCCTCAAAACAGTCACCTTCTTCCTCAAATACAGTCACCTTCTTCCTCAAAAACAGTCACCTTCTTCCTCAAATACAGTCACCTTCTTCCTCAAATACTGTCACCTTTCTCGGCGCCTCGACTGCAATCGATATAGGGAATTGTGTGACTAATCTCTCCGGGCGATCTGTGTCCCGACGCACAATATTGCTTACTCAGGACATTCATACACGCTGCCACCTCCTGTCCTCTTGACGTGTTAAACTGAGAGGACAATATAGTACTTTTAAGTCACATTTTGTAATTGGATATAATTGTTGTTCAAAGAGAGAGAGAGAGAGAGAGAGAGAGAGAGAGGGGATGGAATATATATATATGCATATATATATATATATATATATATATATATATATATATATATATATATATATATATATATATATATATATATATATATATATATATATAGACCCTGCATGTAACCAATGTTGTAACCCTTTTTGTGTAATGAAATTTTAAAATAAAGTTAGACATATATACACACATACTAAAATAATAGGGGTGGCAGGAGAATAAAATATCAAAAGAGTTGAAATCGGTCTTCACCGAGTACTCTTTATTTTCTTCTCCGAGGCTTTGGGTCCCTACACTTACACCAGAGGTGGTACCCCCCTTTTAGGTATATATCTATATATGTATATAATATACTCCCATTCTCCCTCTCCTACAGTAACTCTGCAGTCACCGATCTACTTCAACGGGTTCATGGTGCAGGCCCGCAAGGTGGGGGAGGAGAGTGGCGGGGAGATGGTAGTGGTGGTGGGGAGGTTCACCAACATCCCCCACAGGGGGAAGTACCTGAGCTGCCCCAACGGGGACCGGCCAGAGAACACGGTGGTCAGCGAGGACGCCCCGCTCAGGATGACCAACCTCACCTTCGTCTGGCTCGCGCCTCACACCGACTTGGGAAACATCCAGTTTGTGTGAGTATTTTTGTTTTGTTTGAGGGGGAAGGGTTTGGGTAATTTGTGGGGGAGGAGGAGGTAGCTGGTGGGGAGTCCTACAAGTCCAAAGGGAGTCCTACAAGTCCAAAGGGAGTCCTACAAGTCCAAAGGGAGTCCTACAAGTCCAAAGGGAGTCCTACAAGTCCAAAGGGAGTCCTACAAGTCCAAAGGGAGTCCTACAAGTCCAAAGGGAGTCCTACAAGTCCAAAGGGAGTCCTACAAGTCCAAAGGGAGTCCTACAAGTCCAAAGGGAGTCCTACAAGTCCAAAGGGAGTCCTACAAGTCCAAAGGGAGTCCAAAGATCCTACACATTTGTGTAGGATCTTTGATGTGGAGGAGAAAGTTCTTTGTTACTGTTTCTCATAACTTTTCTTCCCATGCTTTTTCGCCATTGTAGTGATTTTGTGGTTTTTATTAAGTTTCTTGGTGACTGTACTCACCTATTTGTGCCTTCAGGATCGAGCGTTGACTCTTGGAACCGGACTTTCTAGCCATCGGTTGTTTACAGCAATGACTCCGGTCCTATTTCCCTATCATATCTAGTTTTTAAATTATTAATAGAATTTGCTTCCACAACCTGTTCCTTAAGTGCATTCCATTTTTCCACTATTCTCACGCTAAAAGAAAACTTCCTAACATCTCTGTGACACATCTGAGTTTCCAGCTTCCACCCATGTCCCCTCGTTCTGTTACTATTCAGTGAGAACATTTCGTCTATGTCCACTCTGTCAAACCCCATAAGTATTTTATACGTTCCTATCATATCCCCCCTCTCCCTTCTTTTTTCTATTGTCGTAAGGCTAATTCCTTCAGGCACTCTTCATACCCCATCCCTTGAAACGCTGGGACGAGTCTTGTTGCAAACTTCTGAACCTTTTTCACTTTCCTTATGTGTTTCTTCAGGTGGGGACTCCATGATGGCGCGGCATACTCTAAGACTGGTCTCACATAGGCAGTGTAGAGCGCCCTAAATGCCTCCTTACTTAGGTTTCTGAATGATGTTCTAACTTTTGCCAGTATTTGTGTGTCCTCACCTATTTGTGCTTGCGGGGGTTGAGCTCTGCTCTTTCGGCCCGCCTTTCAACCGTCAATTAACTGGTATATTAATGTGTGTGTGTCTGTGTGTGTGTGTGCGTGTGTGTGTGTTGTGTGTGTGTGTGTGTGTGTGTTGTGTGTGTGTGTTTTTGTTTTAGTTTTAGTGTACGTGTTTGCTGGAATACAATATAATTATCATACACTCACAAAAATATCACCAAACTCATGCTAAATCGATTATCGCAAACTTATATATCACCCGGGACGCCCTCCATCACATCCGCCGCCGCCGCCTCCACCACCATCACAACCTTACTTCTCCCCACAGAGCGAGCATCCTGTACAATGGAGGCACGGAGTACAAGAGCTACAGCTCGTCCCAGCTGAGCCTCAACATGTACCGTGAGTATTTCCTGTACTGTTCCATCTGTTCTATCCTTTGGGACTACCTTTACGCCTGTTCCATTATATGGGATTACCTTTGACACCTGTTCCATCCTACCAACCAGCACTTGTTCGTAATATTAACCCTTGATCCCATGCCTATCATCTCCAACAATCACCAGCCTCCACCTTCAGGCAAGGGGGCGATTGTTGGTGATGATGATGATGATGATGATAAGCCTTTAGAGAACACAATCAAGTAGCTGTCACGACTGCAAGAAAAATAACAGGTTGGATGAAAAGAACCTGTCGAACACCCAAGCCAGTGATGTAACCCGTCCTCTTATAAGTGTTCATCATCACCTACAATTATGCCTCTTTGTCTTATTTGTAAGAAGACCTCAGTCAATGGATGATTGGTTGTGAGAATGATGGTACTCTTCAAGACACTTTGTGTTCTCTGGTGTGGAATATTGTTGCATAGTAACAGCCTCATTCAGAGCTGGAGCAATTGCTGATCTGGAGAGCGTGTAAAGATCTTTTACGGCTAGAATCCACTCAATAAAACATTTTAAGTATTGGAACCGATTAAAGTTATTTATCTGTATTTTCTAGAGCGCAGGCGGGAGAGATACATAATAATACACTTGGAAAATATTAGAGGTACTTTATTCCAAATCTGCAGCACGGAAATAACGTCATATGAGACCAGGAGGCATGGCAGGATGTGCAAAAGATTTTCAACCCCCCTTCTGAAAAGCAGAGGTGCGATAGGTACGCTGAGAGAGAACTCTATCAACATCAAGGACCCAAAATTTCAGCACCCTCTCTATACATAAGGGGAATAACTGGCCGGCCTCTCATGCTGTTCAAAAGAGAACTCGATAAACACCTGCAGAGGATACTTGATCAACCAGGCTGTGATTCATAGGTCAGGCTGCGAGCAGCCGCGTCCAACAGCCTGGTTGATCAGACTACCTACCAGGATGACTGGTCAGAGACCGGGCCGCGGGAACGTTCATCCTCAGAATCACCAAACAGAAGTGCCTGTCACCACCCACAATCAACCCCTGCCTGTCACCACCCACAATCAACCCCCTGCCTGTCACCACCCACAATCATCCCCCTGCCTGTCACCACCCACAATCAACCCCCTGCCTGTCACCACCCACAATCAACCCCTGCCTGTCACCACCCACAATCAACCCCCTGCCTGTCACCACCCACAATCAACCCCCTGCCTGTCACCACCCACAATCAACCCCCTGCCTGTCACCACCCACAATCAACCCCTGCCTGTCACCACCCACAATCAACCCCCTGCCTGTCACCACCCACAATCAACCCCTGCCTGTCACCACCCACAATCAACCCCCTGCCTGTCACCACCCACAATCAACCCCTGCCTGTCACCACCCACAATCAACCCCTGCCTGTCACCACCCACAATCAACCCCTGCCTGTCACCACCCACAATCAACCCCTGCCTGTCACCACCCACAATCAACCCCCTGCCTGTCACCACCCACAATCAACCCTCTGCCTCTCACCACCCACAATCAACCCCCTGCCTGTCACCACCCACAATCAACCCTCTGCCTCTCACCACCCACAATCAACCCCTACCTGGCACCACCCTCAATCAACCCCCTGCCTGTCACCACCCACAATCAACCCCTACCTGTCACCACCCACAATCAACCCCCTACCTGTCACCACCCACAATCAACCCTCTGCCTCTCACCACCCACAATCAACCCCTACCTGCCACCACCCACAATCAACCCCCTGCCTGTCACCACCCACAATCAACCCCCTGCCTGTCACCACCCACAATCATCCCCTGCCTGTCACCACCCACAATCAACCCCCTGCCTGTCACCACCCACAATCAACCCCCTGCCTCTCACCACCCACAATCATCCCCTGCCTGTCACCACCCACAATCAACCCCCTGCCTGTCACCACCCACAATCAACCCCCTGCCTCTCACCACCCACAATCAACCCCCTGCCTGTCACCACCCACAATCAACCCTCTGCCTCTCACCACCCACAATCAACCCCTACCTGGCACCACCCTCAATCAACCCCCTGCCTGTCACCACCCACAATCAACCCCTACCTGTCACCACCCACAATCAACCCCCTGCCTGTCACCACCCACAATCATCCCCTGCCTGTCACCACCCACAATCAATCCCTACCTGTCACCACCCACAATCAACCCCCTGCCTCTCACCACCCACAATCATCCCCTGCCTGTCACCACCCACAATCAACCCCCTGCCTGTCACCACCCACAATCATCCCTCTGCCTCTCACCACCCACAATCAACCCCCTGCCTGTCACCACCCACAATCAACCCCCTGCCTGTCACCACCCACAATCATCCCCTGCCTGTCACCACCCACAATCAACCCCTACCTGTCACCACCCACAATCAACCCCCTGCCTGTCACCACCCACAATCAACCCCCTGCCTGTCACCACCCACAATCAACCCCCTGCCTGTCACCACCCACAATCAACCCCCTGCCTGTCACCACCCACTATAAACTCCCTGCCTGGCACCACCCCACAATCAACCCCTACCTGCCACCACCCACAATCAACCCCCTGCCTGTCACCACCCACAATCAACCCCTTGCCTGTCACCACCCACAATCAACCCCCTGCCTGTCACCACCCACAATCAACCCCCTGCCTGTCACCACCCACTATCAACCCCCTGCCTGTCACCACCCACAATCAACCCCTACCTGACACCACCCACAATCAACCCCTACCTGACACCACCCACAATCAACCCCTACCTGTCACCACCCACAATCAACCCCTACCTGGCACCACCCACTATAAACCCCCTGCCTGTCACCACCCACAATCAACCCCCTACCTGGCACCACCCACTATCAACCCCCTGCCTGTCACCACCCACAATCAACCCCTACCTGACACCACCCACAATCAACCCCTACCTGACACCACCCACAATCAACCCCTACCTGACACCACCCACAATCAACCCCTGCCTGACACCACCTACAATCAACCCCTACCTGTCACCACCCACAATCAACCCCTACCTGTCACCACCCACAATCAACCCCTGCCTGGCACCACCCACAATCAACCCCTACCTGTCACCACCCACAATCAACCCCTACCTGTCACCACCCACAATCAACCCCCTACCTGGCACCACCCACTATCAACCCCCTGCCTGTCACCACCCACAATCAACCCCTGCCTGTCACCACCCACAATCAACCCCTGCCTGTCACCACCCACAATCAACCCCTACCTGCCACCACCTACAATCAACCCCTACCTGTCACCACCCACAATCAACCCCTACCTGTCACCACCCACAATCAACCCCCTACCTGGCACCACCCATTATCAACCCCTGCCTGTCACCACCCACAATCAACCCCTGCCTGTCACCACCCACAATCAACCCCCACCTGTCACTACCCACAGTCAACCCCTACCTGGCACCACCCACAATCAACCCCCCTGCCTGTCACCACCCACAATCAACCCCTACCTGCCACCACCCACAATCAACCCCTGTCTGCCACCACCCACAATCAACCCCTACCTGGCACCACCCACTATCAACCCCTACCTGCCACCTCCCACAATCAACCCCCTGCCTGGCACCACCCCACAATCAACCCCTACCTGCCACCACCCACAATCAACCCTCTGCCTGTCACCACCCACAATCAACCCCTACCTGCCACCACCCACAATCAACCCCTACCTGCCACCACCCACAATCAACCCCTGCCTGGCACCACCCACAATCAACCCCTACCTGCCCCCACCCACAATCAACCCTCTGCCTGTCACCACCCACAATCAACCCCTACCTGCCACCACCCACAATCAACCCCTGCCTGGCACCACCCACAATCAACCCCTACCTGCCACCACCCACAATCAACCCTCTGCCTGTCACCACCCACAATCAACCCCTACCTGCCACCACCCACAATCAACCCCTGCCTGGCACCACCCACAATCAACCCCTACCTGCCACCACCCACAATCAACCCTCTGCCTGTCACCACCCACAATCAACCCCTACCTGCCACCACCCACAATCAACCCCTGCCTGCCACCACCCACAATCAACCCTCTGCCTGTCACCACCCACAATCAACCCCTACCTGCCACCACCCACAATCAACCCCTGCCTGGCACCACCCACAATCAACCCCTACCTGCCACCACCCACAATCAACCCCTGCCTGGCACCACCCACTATCAACCCCCTGCCCATAACTTCCTGCTCTCGCCCACTTTCAGAAGGTTCTCGCTCGCGTAGTCAAGTTATCGTTGATATTTCTTGTCTGTGTTTACCCTCTGGTAATGTAAGCTCTCACCGAGCAATGTTGACCTTCGTGTGCTGTGTCCTTGACGCTTGGGGCCTCTGCTGGTCGTCCTATACGGCTGCTTATTTCCTCTGATTTCCACAATTATTTTTTCAAAATTTCAGGCACTTTCCTCTTCTTTTTGTCCTCTTTTCTCCTGTTTATGCACTTGCGTCTGCCTGGCTTTCACGTCTTTAGGAGTCCTTGTAAATGGGTTTCTTTACCTCCTCCGTCCCTATATTGTCCTCATCTCTGGGCACCACAATCAACCTGGTCGAGGACCTGGTCGAGGACCGGGCCGCGGGGACACTAAAAAGCCCCGAAATCATCTCAAGATAACCAGAGATGCTGCATCTCTCCCAGCCGCGTGGGTCGACTGTTTGATGCTTCGTATTGCTTTAAGTGATCAATGTTCGACTTGCGGAGGTGATCGCTTATGCTGCTCCCTGAGCACCACTTGGGAGCGGCTCCCGTGTGTTAGGTCGCCTCTTTCTCACCCCCGAACCCACCCAACCCCCAATCCTTTTTTTCCTGGTAAGATAATTACGTAATAACCTGCCTGATCTAACTTACGTTACCGTATAAAGTTACATGTCTTCAACATTAGTTTTCTAGTCGTCTGGCATCTCTGTATTGTTGCTGTTCATCATAAATGTAATTGATCAAATCCAGGATGATTTAATAATAATAATAATAATAATAATAATAATAATAATAATAATAATAATAATAATAATAATAATTTGTTTACAAGACGGTACAATGGGTTGGTGAGATTACATAAGATTGATATTTTTACATTCAGGCAAAGCCACTAACACGCGTAGCATTTCGGACAGGTTCTTAAATCTAACATATCCGGTAAGATGAAAGGGTACATTGTAGCACAATTTTTATCAACAAATAACTAAAATATGAATTGACAGAGGTGATTACACTGATGAAGATATGTCCAAGGTGTTAATATTGGAGAAGTGGGAAGTACAAGATACAGTGGGAGTTTGAAGCACGAGGTGGGAAACTATGAGGATGAAATTAGGTACTTTTTGGTTTTACTTTTGAATAAGGCATAGGCTGGACAACTTTTTAATTCAATGGGGAGTGTGTTCCATAGACTGGTCCCTTTATGTTCATGGAGTGTTTCACACATTTTACCTGACTCTGGGGGATAAAAAAAATATATTTATTTCTGGTGTGGTGCTCATGGGTTCTGTTACACCCATCAAGGAAAAGTTTCAGATCAAGATTAGCATTTAGGAACAAGGTTTTGTACATGTAAATAGCACATAAGAATATGTGGAGTAAGTGTATGTTTAGCATGTTTAGGGACTTAAAAACATAGGAGCTGTGTGTTGTCTGAACACAAAGTTTGTTATAGTTCTGATAGTAGAATTTTGGTGAGTGGTGATAGGCTTGCGGTAATTTGCAGTGTTTGAACCCCCATGCACAGATATCATATGTAAGATAGGGATAGATTGGCGCGGAGTATAATAGGAGGAGAGCAGAGTGAGGAATATAATATCTGATTTTAGAAAGTATACCGACCTTTTTTCAATTTTTTGACTATGTGTTGTATGTGGGCGCTGAAGTTCAATCCTTTACAAAAATGTAAAATTAACTTAATTTCAATGTTCTCTGTTAACCCCCAATGTACCTTCTTGTATATAAATTTTATAAATAAATAAATCTTGTCAATTTACAGGTCATCATTTTTACTGTTTCCATCATTTTTATTGCTAAAGTAAACGCTATCAGAAGTTGAATTTGATTTGAAGATTTACTACCAAATAAAAGGTAGTAGGTCTTTTTTTATGTTTAGGGTGAGTTTGTTGGTTGACATCCATCAGTGGACTTTTATTTTATTCATTATTGACAATATTATTTAGTGTGTGGGGGTTGGGGTCTGAATAGGTGAAGGTAGTATCGTTAGCAAATAATGTAGGTTTAAAAATGTTAGAAACATTTGGGAAATCATTGATGCATACAAGAAATAGGAGAGGTCCTAAGGTGCTGCCCTGTGGCACTCCTACTGTTAATCTTAGAGTGGAGGAGGTTATGTTATCGATGGCTACATATTGGTGTCTACCAGTGAGATAGGAACGAATATAGTTCAGAGCAAGGCCTCGGATACCATAGTGGTGAAGTTTAAGTAAGAGGTAGTTATGGTTTACAGTATCAAAGGCCTTTCTCATGACAATGAAGAGGCCAATTGGGAACTCATTTTTGTCAAGGGCTGTGTAGATTATATTAAGCAGACTAACAATGGCATCATTGGTACTCTTTTAGGAACGGAAGTCAAACTGGCAGGGACTTAATATGTTGAGTTTTCCACGTTAGGAGTAGAGGTGTTTGTAAAAAAAAAAAAATCATATATTTTTTTTAGAGTATAGGTAGATTTGATATTAGTCTGCAATTATTCATGTTAGTTGTCTCGCCTCCTATATGAACTGGCGATACTCTTGTTTTTTTAAGAATATCATGAAAAGTATGATACTATAGAGATTTATTGAATATCAGAGGTATGGGGTAGTGCAAGAGCAGGGGCAGCACTCTTATATATACCATAGATGGTATTTCAATAATGTTCCCAGCTTTGGTTTAAGTAACTGAATTATGAATATAACGTGTGTCGGGCTGACTGGTAAAAGGAGTAGCGAGTTAGGATGGCTGCCGGTGAGACATGTTGGAACCTGTGTCTGGCTCTCTGACATCTGTGGCATGAACTCCACATCGACTAATAAAAAATCAGAGGTAGAACTATATAAGAAATATTCTGAGAGAGAGAGAGAGAGAGAGAGAGAGAGAGAGAGAGAGAGAGAGAGAGAGAGAGAGAGAGAGAGAGAGAGAGAGAGAGAGAGAGAGAGAGAGAGAGAGAGAGAGAGCCAGGCAGGTACTCCTGGTATTCTAGAGGGAGCTGACCTGAGGGTAGAAGCCTACCAGTTTCCATGCTCGTGTACGTTATTCAGGAGGCGCGGGTGTCCCGCTCTCACCTCACCAAATATTTACACGGGCCTGGCAGGGCAGGGAAGGTAGGGGAAGGGTGGGGGAAGGTAGGGGAAGGGTGGGGGAAGGTAGGGGAAGGGTGGGGATGGTAGGGGAAGGGTGGGTAAGAGAAGGGTGTCGTGGGGTGAGAGGCGCATGTGGAGAAAATAACGTGCATAGCTGTGACAGCAGCCATGCTGGCGCAAGCGCACAAACTCACCTAATTGTGCTGCGGGGGTTGAGCTCTGGCTCGTTGGTCTCGCCTCTCAACCGTCAATCAACAGGTGTACAGGTTCCTGAGCCTATTGGGCTCTATCATATCTACACTTGATATTATACACGAACTGTGGCAGAATCAGAGACAAGTTACAGGACTGAGCTCGAACTTTTGAACGACGATTGTAGGAAGTATTGAGAAGTATTTGTGTGTGTGTTTTTTTTAGCTTTTCAATATACCTTTTTTTGCATAAACATTCTGGATTTATTATAACGGAGAGCTAGCACCAAGTTACTACTCAGTCCAACAGCCGCCTATTTAACTGTCAGCCAATGGAACAGCTTCTTTTTTGTTCCATTTTCACAAATAGTGTTATTCCCATCTTTTCTAACCCAACATCCAATTTTCTGTATGACAATATCCCATTTTCTCTATGACAACATCCCATTTTCTCTAAGGCAACGTCCCATTTTCTCTATGGCAACATCCCATTTTCTCTATGTCAACATCCCATTTTCTCTATGACAACATCCCATTTTCTCTATGGCAACATCCCATTTTCTCTAAGGCAACATCCCATTTTCTCTAAGGCAACATCCCATTTTCTCCATAGCAACATCCCATTTTTAAAATCGGAATCCTATTTTCTCAAAATTTATTGCTTTTTATAATCCATTTCATTTTCATCACCCTGACTAACTCGAATTTGTTATTAATATCATCATAGTAATATCTAAACCTAACACGTTTTCTGAACCAATATACAACTTATTCTAAACTATAAAATCACATTTTCTAACCCATTTTTTTAACATTTTCTAAAATTTCATTGTATAATTCCTTACAACTCATTATCCTAATTTTGTACGACCCAATTTCTTCTCTAAAATAGCCGTATCCACGAAGGAGTGCGCTGTTGCCAAGAGCTGCTTCCGCTACTGCACGAAGGAAGGCGGGAGGCAGTGCGAGGCGCACATGTCACAATATGTGGCAACGCTGGAATATATCGGAAACACCACAAGCGTTAGAATTACCATCGGCGGCCAGCTGCCCCAACCTGAGGTTAGTTACTTAGTTACTTTTGGGGTCATTTGTTGGTAGTTGGGTCGTTTATTGCACCCTCCTCCTTCTCCTTAGATGTACTCACCTAATTGTGCTTGCTGGGGTTGAGCTCTGGCTCTTTAGTCCCGCCTCAAGCGGGACCAAGGAGCATCTTGTCATCTTGAGTGTTTTCGCCCCTGGAGGCATGGGATCTCGAGTCTCTTCTCCCTCAGGGGCATGGGATCTCGAGTCCTTTCTCCCTCAGAGGCATGGGATTTCGAGTCCTTTCTCCCTCAGAGGCATGGGATCTCGAGTCCCTTCTCCTCCAGAGGCATGGGATCTCGAGTCCCTTCTCCTCCAGAGGCATGGGATCTCGAGTCCCTTCTCCTCCAGAGGCATGGGATTTCGAGTTCCTTCTCCCTCAGAGGCATGGGATCTCGAGTCCCTTCTCCCTCAGGGGCATGGGATCTCGAATCCTTTCTCCCTCAGAGGCATGGGATTTCGAGTCCTTTCTCCCTCAGAGGCATGGGATCTCGAGTCCCTTCTCCCTCAGAGGCATGGGATTTCGAGTTCCTTCTCCCTCAGAGGCATGGGATCTCGAGTCCCTTCTCCCTCAGAGGCATGGGATTTCGAGTCCCTTCTCCCTCAGAGGCATGGGATCTTGAGTCCCTTCTCCTCCAGAGGCATGGGATCTCGAGTCCCTTCTCCTCCAGAGGCATGGGATCTCGAGTCCCTTCTCCCTCAGAGGCATGGGATCTCGAGTCCCTTCTCCCTCAGAGGCAAGGGATCTCGAGTCACTTCTCCCTCAGAGGCATGGGATCTCGAGTCCCTTCTCCCCCAGAGGCAGGGTATCTCGAGTCCCTTCTCCCTCAGAGGCATGGGATCTCGAGTCCCTTCTCCCTCAGAGGCATGGGATCTCGAGTCCCTTCTCCCTCAGAGGCATGGGATCTCGAGTCCCTTCTCCCTCAGAGGCATGGGATCTCGAGTCCCTTCTCCCCCAGAGGCATGGGATCTCGAGTCCCTTCTCCCCCAGACGCATGGGATCTCGAGTCCCTTCTCCCTCAGAGGCATGGGATCTCGAGTCCCTTATCCCCCAGACGCATGGGATCTCGAGTCCCTTCTCCCTCAGAGGCATGGGATCTCGAGTCTCTTCTCCCTCAGAGGCATGGGATTTCGAGTCCCTTCTCCCTCAGAGGCATGGGATCTCGAGTCCCTTCTCCCTCAGAGGCATGGGATCTCGAGTCCCTTCTCCCTCAGAGGCATGGGATCTCGAGTCCCTTCTCCCCCAGAGGCATGGGATCTCGAGTCCCTTCTCCCCCAGACGCAAGGGATCTCGAGTCCCTTCTCCCTCAGAGGCATGGGATCTCGAGTCCCTTCTCTCCCAGACGCATGGGATCTCGAGTCCCTTCTCCCTCAGAGGCATGGGATCTCGAGTCCCTTCTCCCTCAGAGGCATGGGATCTCGAGTCCCTTCTCCCCCAGAGGCATAGGATCTCGAGTCCCTTCTCCCCCAGACGCATGGGATCTCGAGTCCCTTCTCCCCCAGACGCATGGGATCTCGAGTCCCTTCTCCCTCAGAGGCATGGGATGGGATCTCGAGTCCCTTCTCCCTCAGACGCATGGGATCTCGAGTCCCTTCTCCCCCAGAGGCATGGGATCTCGAGTCCCTTCTCCCCCAGACGCATGGGATCTCGAGTATCTTCCCCACGTCGAGACATAATATTATAACCTATTTATTTCCCCTTTCTGATGATAGTAATCATACTATTACTACTAATAATAATAACAACACTAATAATTCATTAAAATTACATTGACGTGAAATATCAATGAGAAAATCAATTGGAACTGTGCCGGGATTCGAACCAGCGTTCTGGTGAATACCAGACGTATGCTTTAACCCAGTAGGCCAAGACAGGAGAAAATGCTATTTACCTCTGCGCCTCTACTGAGACCAGTAAGGGAGTGTGGAGGCTCCATGCTGGTGCCATAACCAGGTTTTTACGAAGTTCACGTCTAGTATTCTCTACAACCCTGGTTCGAATCCCGGCACAGCTCCAACTGATTTTCTCAACAATAATAATGGTAACAATCATAAATGTTAATATCGCCAAAGTGAGGCTATAGACTGAAACTTGAGACTGAAGCGGAACTTGAGGCTGAAGCTGAAACTTGAGGCTGAAGTTGAAACTTGAGGCTGAAGTTGAAACTTGAGGCTGAAGCTGAAACTTGAGGCTGAAGCTGAAACTTGACACTAAAGCTGAAACTTGAGGCTGAAGCTGAAACTTGAAGCTGAAGCTGAAACTTGAGGCTGAAGCTGAAACTTGAGGCTGAAGCTAAAACTTGAGGCTGAAGCTGAAACTTGAAGCTGAAACTTGAGGCTGAAGCTGAAACTTGAAGCTAAAGCTGAAACTTGAAGCTAAAGCTGAAACTTGAGGCTGAAGCTGAAACTTGAGGCTGAAGCTGAAACTTGAGGCTGAAGCTGAAACTTGAGGCTGAAGCTGAAACTTGAGGCTGAAGCTGAAACTTGAGGCTGAAGCTAAGCTGAAGCTGAAACTTGAAGCTGAAGCTGAAACTTGAGGCTGAAGCTGAAACTTGAAGCTGAAGCTGAAACTTGAGGCTGAAGCTGAAACTTGAGGTCTTCAGGTAAGAATATAATATTACAGGCGAGAGGTAAAGTGAGAGGACACATCAGACACGTGTCAGTTATACAGGCTGCAGGTGCCTCTCCAACCACTTGGGCTGGACGGTAGAGTGACGGTATCGCTTCGTGCAGGTCGGGGTTCAATCCCTGACCGTCCACAACTGGTTGGGCACCATTTCCTCCCCCCCCCGTCGCATCCCAAATCCGTATCCTGACCCCTTTCCCAGTGCTACATAGTCGTAATGGCTTGGCGCTTCCCCCCCTCTCCCTCCCGAAAGCTCCCTTTCCCTTAAATTTCTATGATGGCGGAGGGCAACCTCTGTTGTACTGACTCTCCACTGGACTGCCCCTATCCAAGACTGCCCCTACCCAAGACTGCCCCTATCCAAGACTGCCCCTACCCAAGACTGCCCCTATCCAAGACTGCCCCTACCCAAGATTACCCAAGGAATCCAAGTAATGGGTAGTGGATTGCCCCAACCAAAACTACCAATAACTCAAGACAAAACTAAAACTACCATAAACAAAACTACCCCTTACCTATGACTCCCCACCTCTGGATACAGTTCACATTACAGGAGCCGCTGGACGCCACCAAGGACAACACACATGAGGCCCACACGGTGCCGCTTGCTCTACTATCACTCCCTCCGACACCGTGCGAAAGTAAACAAATTTACAAGATAATTACAATAAAAATTCCTTTTGATCACTGTTACGGCCCTTTCGAGTCGCAACTGGGTTCTTACTCTGATGTTGTTAGAGGAAGGGTATCCGGCCCCAAGCCAGTAGTGGCTTTCAAGGGATGTGATCCGTAACGCAAGTAAATTAAAAGGAGAAGGGAAATAAAGTAAAAAACTTAATATAATATAATGACCGCCACCAATAAATAATATATAAAAAGATTACACGGGGGAAGGGGTATAAACACTTATTTACACTGTCGTCTTCTTCTGAAGACTCTGGATCCTCTCGGTGTCAAGCCCTCGGTGCTCTCGTGGCCTCATGACGAATTCTTCAAGAAGCTGAGTCTACCCCGGCCACAGGCTAGCCAAAACGCAGTTCCACTGGGGGCACCGCCATGGAGGCCGTCAACCACAAGTCCAGCAGACTGCTGGCAGGTTCCGGATCAGCAACGCTGGTCAGGCCACTCCACGAGCGATACTAGGGTAGCGCCCTAGTCAGGAGTCTCTTGTGATACCACCGATCACTCTCCTGTCCACAATACCCCAGTGGTCAATCGTCTCCACCAGCCAGTCCCGGGTACGACAATCCTTCAACTGCCACTTCACTGGCAGGGTAACACCACAGTGTTCATCCGGGAGGCGACTCAGCTGCTGCAGCAAAGCACTTGGTGTGGGGACGGCTGCCTTGGGTAGACTGACTCAACTTACCTTACAGCAGTCCCACGTCGACTCTGTAAGCAGACACGTCATCAGTAACAGGTACACACAAAAGCACCTCACTTACAGGCTCAGACCCAAACGCCCACCTATCCACTCCATAGATGGCGTTGTCGTCTGAGCACCACCTCACCAGAGGTCAGCAACGGCTGTGTTGTGAGCTGCACAGGACTGGAAACTGGCCCTTGTGGCCGGTACACTTCGTCCTCACCAGGTGTCGTCGTCCATTTGGAGGGGGTATCGGGAGCTGACCCACAGATGGCGCGGTCGTCACTGCTCCGTGCTCGGACGCTGGATTCGGGTCCGTAACAATCACACGACTTGATGATGGTCCAAGACGGACCGAAACGTCGCCGTCGTTCCTCCATCTTCTGATGTGTGGCTCGGTACTGAAATAAAAGATCTCGCAGTCCAGATCAACATCCTGCATGTTAGAATGTCTTAATCGTGAAGATTAAGACACAGGACACCGTGGATGGCGGTGAGAACGCAGTCCTTGCAACACGCCATCAGCGTACAGTAATTAAGCGTAAATTAAGCGTGTGATACACATAAGCGCCACCACGGAGTGGAAGCCTCCACACTGAGGTGGAGCGGGAGGTGGGCCCTACACTCCTGACACAGATGGCGACGCGTCAGAGGAATGTCAACAAACCGTAACCGAACAGCCAGCAGAACAGTGTTGCCAGGTACTGTCCCCACACCGACACGCCTCAGTGTGCTCGAGTCAATGATGTAACCACGTGACTCTTGTTTACCCTTGTGGCTGGCAACAGTGTGAGTGTGGGGCGTCTACTTCCCGGCAACTGCTGTCAGCTCCCCCCGTCAAGACAGGCTTAGCTGTCTCTCTCTGTCTGTCAGGCAGCAAGTTTCTCCCCTGTGTCTAAGAGGTTTCTGTGTCACTGGGAGACACACTGCCGCCGCCGCCTCAAGTGAATGATAGTTTAAATATTTACAAACCCACAAATGTCGATACCTGTTACTCCCCCGGGACTATACTGGGGTTCTCGTCTATAAATAGATATTCAGTTTTGTATCGGGGACCTTTTTTTTTTTTTGGTTTTGTTTCTTTTACATAGCCGGGAGTATTGATTTGACTGTCTCTTCCCGTCCCATCTCGTCAACTATTCTTCCCCGTCCCACGTGGGTATCTTGCCATGGAGGACGGGGGTATGTCCACTATCCTCATTGTGGGGATAAATTTGAGCTTGCACCACTACCTATCCTCATCAACCAACTGTACATCGCCATTAACTTAAACAAGCTCAAACCCCCTTCAACCACATCAACCTCTGCAACCAACCCTGACATCCACTTCCAGTCACTGGGTTTAGTAAAGACCTTAATCTTCTCAACCCCATTAAGTTCCCTAGCTAACCTCTACTTGACTATCCTCCACTTTCCCTGACTATAGTAGACAGTGGAGGATAGCCACCTGCACACAGCCTCCCTGGCAAGGGGTCTAGGGCTCCCATTACAAGGGGGGTCCTCCACCTCACCACCTCAACCAGACATATACTGATAGGTCAAAAACCTCTGCCTAGTTATTTTGGACGATCGATTTGGATTCTATTGACTTTTTTAATATATATAAAAATATAAAATATTTCCTCTTATTTCCCTCCAAAAAAATCGCAGCATTTTTCGTCAGAGGGCCAAGTCCAAGATGGCCGTCAGCGCTACCTTGAACAATTCCACTTTGAACCAGAGTACTTAGACTCGTGCACAAACACTTTTTCAGGTAAGTCGACCACGTGGATTTTGAATCTGACGATAGTTTGACGTTGCAGCATCGTGGAGCGGCAGCAGCAGAAGGGCGAGGCAGAGACACGCACGAAGACTGAGATTCGAGGCATTCCTCGACGACTCGTTTTTCCCGCCTTGTCTTGGCATGTTCCAGTATACTTAGCATTCCATAAGGTCAGCTTACATGATTTATGCACACCTTGTCCGCCGGGACCATTATCCCAATCGATCGTTGCGTAAGACGTCTCTGAACGTTTCAAGACAGCTCTGTAACAAGGCTTTTTTTTCTTAAGATTTTTCCCGGACCTCAACGAAGACAATGACATCAGTGCAAAGCTCCCCATCTCCCCCTCACACTTTAAGACACACGCAACTGTGTGACAGTTGTCTTGACAGCTGTCTTCTCAATGCTGTGCTACTCAGTGCCGTCATCCACGCTCCTGTACTCCCAGGAAGGTCAACAACAAGTATGACAAGTGTGTGATCTGAAATTTCAGACACAAGCGAACAAAATAACAGTTCATGAATCAGAACCTAAATTTCGTGACCATTACAGATGTTGCGCGAACTTATGTCTTAATTCATGATCCAAGGTGAGAGAGAGTACTGGAGCCAGTACAGTACCCTGGAGGACTAGTGAGAGTACTGGAGCCAGTCCAGTAACCTGGAGGACTAATGAGAGTACTGGAGCCAGTCCAGTACCCTGAAGGACTAGTGAGAGTACTGGAACCAGTCCAGTAACCTGGAGGACTAATGAGAGTACTGGAGCCAGTCCAGTACCCTGAAGGACTAGTGAGAGTACTGGAGCCAGTCCAGTACCCTGGAGGACTAGTCAGAGTACTGGAGCCAATCCAGTACCCTGGAGGACGAAACAGAGTACTGGAGCCGTGCCTGGAAGGATGTACAAAATGGTCCAGTTGAATAGCAGAGGTGCAATAGGTACGCCTAGAGAGAACTCTATCAACATCAAAGGCCTTAGAATTTTCAACTCTCCAGCTACACATAAGGTGCAAAACTTCAAAAGGGAACTTGGTGAACACCTCTAAAGGATACCTGATCAACCCAGCTAGGATTCATACGTCAGGCTGCGAGCTGCTAAGTACAACAGCCTGCTTGATCAGACCGCCAACCAGGAGGCCTGAACAGAAACCGAGTCGCGGGGACGATCATTCCCCGGAACCAACAGGTAGGAACAGGTAGGTTCCTACCTGTTCTTACAAAAGTTACTTTTTCGCTCTACCGGATGGCGGCCATCTTGAATGCTAGGTCAAAATGATGGCATAATGTTAAATCGACGCCAGATTCGGAATCCTCGTAGTCGACTTACCCGAAAAAAGTATTTTTGTACATGATTCTAGGTGCTCTGGTTCAAAAAAAAAAAAATTGAGATGGTGCCCATTTTATATTTGGGTTTCTGGCGAAAAAATGCCGTTTTTTTTGGAAGGGACTTGGGATAAATTTTTTGTTATGAATGCTCAATAGAAATGACATTAATCGTCAAGCTTCACTAGCCAGAGAATGGTCACGGAAGTGAATTTTTTTTTAACCTAACTATAATCATTCTCCTGCGGCTACAGGAGGTTCCTGTCAGTGGGTCAAGAATCCTTACCACTCCAGGCAATCATAATAATAATCCCTTTCATTCATACCTACCCCCGTCCTCCAAGCACAGTAATCCCCTCCACCAGTCATACTAATCTCCGTCCTCCTCCCACAGGGGTACCTGGCTGTGGCCTTCAGCAAGGACCCCGAGAGACTGAAGAACGCAGACATCGCTGCGTGTTATCGCACAGAGAACACCGAGGAGAACACCGTCAAGCTAGAACACTACCTTCTCAAGGACATCAGCTTCATGCCCGACCTCCACCTGGGGGTGAGTACTGCCCCCCCATCCTTCTCCGCCTTAGGTTTCAAGGATGGATATCTTGCGTTAAGTTAGACCCGCAAGGCTTGGGTATTGGATTTGGGGTACAGGAAGTCAGTGGGTCAGAATGGGTCGTAAAGATTAAAGCTAGGTGACACTCGTTTAGTCTGGGCCCTTCGGAGTATGAATGGGTCACACTAGATAGGGTTTGGTCAGGGCATATTGGGTTAAATTGGGTTCAGGCTGATACAGAGAGGTACAGATGTACAGGTAGTAGTACCCGAAGCTTGGGGACTGTAGGTAGCAGAGGCACTTGGCTGTAACCTTTCAACCGCTTCCAACCAGACGGGTGCATGACAGGCAAAAGAAAATTATATGTCACTCGTTTACTACAAATGTAAACTATTTTTTTATTATTATTTTCTACCACAGAGGTAGCCACAAATTTACAATGCTAAACAGCATATATACATTTTCTTCTGTCCTCCATGGACAGGGTGAGAGATGTGTTAAACATATAGTTCAGTGATGTATTGAACAATCATCCAGAGAAGGTGATTGTAGTGCTTTTAAATGCTAATCTAACCTACAAACATAAACACACAGATTTACGTCTGTCCTACATAAACAGTGTTCGAGGTGTCTTTTTACATAGTGTCATTAATGTGCGTTTACAAAAGTGAAATGCAATTCTGACCAGCTTCCATATATCCTGTATACAAATACCCATACATATACATATATACCTACACATGTCCACACATATATATATATATATATACATACACCTATGTCTCTCCTACTTTGAAAGGGTAAGATAGCTTCTATAGAAATTAGTGTGATATTAAACACTTAACCACTGAAGGTGATTAAGATGCTTTTATAAGCTCAGGTTATAGGTACATACATTGTATAACAGCTGTATTACATATTGTATAGGAACAATACTTTCTATAACAGATGTATTACATATTGTATAGGTACAATACATTGTATAACAGCTGTATTACATATTGTATAGGTACAATACATTCTATAACAAATGTATTACATAGTCAATCTTGGGTAGAAGTCCAATATATCATCAAGTGTTTCAGTATTCATATAGTAGTTACAGAGTTCAGCATACCTCAGCCCAGGAGGGCGAAAGTCAGTCAATATAGGACATTCTACAATATAATGTTTAAGGGAGTGCATGTTTTCTCTTTCACAAAGTTGACACATGGTGTATTCCGACACTTTCACAAAGTTGACACATGGTGTATTCGACACTTTCACAAAGTTGACACATGGTGTATTCGACACTTTCACAAAGTTGACACATGGTGTATTCGACACTTTCACAAAGTTGACACATGGTGTATTCGACACTTTCACAAAGTTGACACATGGTGTATTCGACACTTTCACAAAGTTGACACATGGTGTATTCGACACTTTCACAAAGTTGACACATGGTGTATTCGACACTTTCACAAAGTTGACACATGGTGTATTCGACACTTTCACAAAGTTGACACATGGTGTATTCGACACTTTCACAAAGTTGACACATGGTGTATTCGACACTTTCACAAAGTTGACACATGGTGTATTCGACACTTTCACAAAGTTGACACATGGTGTATTCGACACTTTCACAAAGTTGACACATGGTGTATTCGACACTTTCACAAAGTTGACACATGGTGTATTCGACACTTTCACAAAGTTGACACATGGTGTATTCGACACTTTCACAAAGTTGACACATGGTGTATTCGACACTTTCACAAAGTTGACACATGGTGTATTCGACACTTTCACAAAGTTGACACATGGTGTACTCGACATTTAGGTTTTGAGAGAGCTGCCAGATACGTCTATATCCCAGGCGTATTCTGGCCACGATAACATCACATTGCCGAATTTTAACTCTATTAGTTCCATATATAAATGTTTCCTCACGATATTAATCATATTGTTTAATGCTACAACTTTCAGGTCTTTGTGAACTTGTTAGGCCAGTGAGAGTTTTATTATATATTTGTTTAAGTATTCTCTTTGTCACTGCTAATGAAACACTCCTATAAATTTCTACCACTGGTTTTCTACAGGCTGACTTTGCAAGCATATCAACAGTGTCATGCCTTGAGATGCCAACATGTGATGGTATTCAAAGGAATTTAATTTCAAATCTGTTTTCTTTAGCAGCTAAAACATTCATTCATATATCACTGACTATTATCTGGGTGTCACTACTATGTGCGTTCAATGCCAGGAGTGCACTCTGCGAGTTACAGTACATAACTCCACTGCCTTTGTCTTTTAAACATTCAGTGGCAAGGTATATGCCTGCAAGTTCGGTTTGAGTTGTACTTGCCCAGTCATTGACGCGCTTCATTGCTGTACGTACGAGAAAAGATTGTTCAAATATATTACATGCACATCCGGTACATCGTCCACCTTCTTCTACAGAGCCATCGGTATAGCACTGATAAACATCGTTACCCATACTCTGAGTACTCTCAGTGATGCTGCACAGTGTTAACTGTTGCAGTAATGTAGTGTTCACTATCTTTCTTGGGTGTAATTACAAAATCAACTGATAGATCCCAGTTATCCCACGGAGTAATTGGTTGATTAATCATTAACTGAGTACGGTACAATTTAATATTTTTATGGAGTTGGCTACCTTGTAAAACCAAAAATGCATAATCAGATTTCGCTTGTCCCCTATAGGGTCCAACCGCTTGGGCTGGACGGTAGAGCGACGGTCTCGCTACATGCAGGTCGGCGTTCAATCCCCGACCGTCCAAATGGTTGGGCACCATTCCTTCTCCACGTCCCATCCCAAATCCGTGTCCTAACCTCTTCCCTGTGCTATATAGCCGTAATGGCTTGGCCCTTTTCCCTGAAAATTCCCTCCCTCGTCCCCCTATAGACCTCAATTGAATGTAGCATATTAGAAAGTTTAGTTTGAAATTTCATGTGTTGCCTAGATTTACTCAATGCCTTCACGCCGAAAACTGTGCTAATGGTAAAAATTCTCTCCCTTATGGTATGTAATTTTAACTCTGCTCTCATATTAACTATTCTCGTGAACTTTGGAGCCCCAAGGATGAGACGCATAGCTTCATTTTGCAAGGTTTCAAGAGATTTTAGCTCTTTGTCAGTATACAGTGTGAGATGCAGAGTATAGTAGTCAATCACAGAGCGTATAAATGATACATAAAACATTCTAGCAAGTCTCGCGTTAATTCCATGATTGACACCAACAAGGACCCGCAAGGGCTTTAAAATCTCCCAGAGTCTCTTCTTGAGAGAGGAAAGGTACCCAGGGTCGTTAATGGGGACACCAAGGTACTCCGGGTCGTTAATGGGGATGCCAAGGTATCTGTAAGACTCGCAGTTCTCAAGTTCACGCCCATTTAGATGATAATTGGGTGGTGGAAAGCCACATGGAATGAGGGCACGAGTTTTCTGTACAGAGATAAGGAGGCCACATTCCTCAGCTCTAGTAGCAAAAGCATCGAGCAGAACTTGCATTCTAGGCTCGGAGGCAGCCTGTAAACATATGTCATCAGCATAACAGATGACAGTGTCTTCATTATTAGTTGGAAGATCTTTAATAATTTTATGTATTAGAACGTTGAACAACAAGGGGTTGAGGACCCCTTCTTGTGGAGCATCCCATTTCAATATGCAGGCGACGAGTCACAATAACGTGGCTAAAGTATGTTGACCAGACCACACACTAGAAGGTGAAGGGACGACGACGTTTCGGTCCGTCCTGGACCATTCTCACAATCGACTTGAGAATGGTCCAGGACGGACCGAAACGTCGTCGTCCCTTCACCTTCTAGTGTGTGGTCTGGTCAACATCCCAGTTCAAAGTGTTTGCACTTTGTGCTTTTAACATCATTAAACAAAACATATGCTGTTCGATTAGACAAATAGCCCTTTATCCATTTCAGTAATTTTCCTTGTATTCCCAGCTCGGCAAGCTGTTCTAGTATGATTTCCCTGTTTGCTGTATCAAAAGCTGCTGCTAGGTCGATGAAGACTGTTTGAGGGGAAGCTTCAATATGAGCGAAGTACTCAGCAAAACAGTGTTGTGTACTGAGCCCAGGCATAAATCCAAACAGTTGGGGTGACAGGTGTCCCTGTATACGATACATGAGTCGGTTAAGAACAATACGTTCAAGCACTTTACAAACACACGATGTTAGAGATATGGGTCTATAATTATCTGAGTGTGGTTTGGGGATAGGAACAATGACACTCTTTGTCCAAGCATCAGGTAATACTCCTTCACTTAAACTCATTCTGTATAACACTAAAAATGGTACCTGTGAAACTTATCTCTGTAAACTGTAAGTAATATCGTCCTCTCCAGGAGCAGCTGATTTGCCCACCTTTAGTGCATGATTTAATTCCCATTCAGTTATATCATTAAGATCCGACACGTCGATAACTGTACAGACAAGATTGATGGTTCGTTGTCTGTTGGGACGTGTGTCATTAAGTCTATTCTGTATGTTAATTGGGAGTGAGTTGTAACTTGATGTTAATTAAGGAGAATGTTTGCTTGTTCTAGTGGGCTGTGGTGCAGTGGTTTGGTTGGGCTGCTTCTATAGATTTTTCGTATCTTTTCCCAAACTTCAACAAGTGTTGTTCGCTCGTTTATACTTTGTAGGAACTCTTCCCAATGTTTATTACGTATAACGTTGTTCATGTCTCTCACCTCTCTGTTTGCGACAAGAAATGCATGTAAATCTTCTTGTGATCTGATTCGTTTGTATCTCCAAGCTGCTTTATCCGTTCATGTTCTTTAACAAATTCGGAATCAAGGACTAGTAAACGAACATAAACAATTTTCATTCGCCTGTCACGGACCGTCAGGTTGGCAGCGGTGGAAAGGTTACAGCCACGTGCCTCTGCTACCTACAGTCCCCAAGCTTAAGATGCTTTACTAAGATATCTGGTGATATATATCATTTATAATCAAATACACACTTCATGAACATTTGCTATATGCAAATTCTTGAATTATTTCTCACCCCAAGTATTCGCTGCATTTTTTTTTATCGAAATACAATGTTGGATATTGGCTCTCTCAGTCGCTGGTTCAGGCAGCACGCACGCTTCAACTCGTATGTTTAATAATCATAAGTTTTGAAGCCTAGTGAGGTACTGCCTACACCAGCGTCAGAGACACCTTAAGCGGGACACACACACACAACCAGACCTGACATCTCCCTAGTCCCTGATAGGTAAGCACTCGGACTAGTATACAAATATGATTGTAAATCAATGTCGTCTTGACTGGAGTATGAATTACACAACGTCCTTCTTTCTCTCCTTGTGTATACTGACATTCACAATGGTATAAACGTAACGACTCGCCAGGAATTATGAAAGGCAGTCTGGCTGGTCCGAGGTCGACCTCAGGCGGGGTAGAGACGTCGCCCAAACCGACACGCTGCCCTTCACTTCTATATTCATTGAACGAGTAAGAATAAAAGATGAACAACTCTCTGGATGTCTGTCTCAACATGAACCTCGTCCTCAGCCGCCTCCTTCCCGCCCGTAGGTGCTGGAGCTGGAGTCGTGGGACGTGGACGGGGACTTCGTGTGGTGCACCTTCAGCAGACCCATCACCGGCCAGCAGGACAACAGGCTGGACCTGCAGGAGCCCCAGTACTACTACTACTTCTGGGGCTCCAGGAACGGCTCCAGTAAGTGCCTGGGGCCAGATTCACGAAGCAGTTTCGCAAGTACTGACGAACCTGTACATCTTTCCTCAATCTTTGACGGCTTTGGTTACGTTTATTAAACAGTTTACAAGCATGAAAACTTCCCAAATCAACTGTTGTTATTGTTATAAACAGCCTCCAGGTGCTTCGGAGCTCATTAACTGTTTAATAATTGTAAACAAAGCCGCCAAAGATTGAGAAAAGATGTACACGTTCGCAAGTGCTTGCGTAACTGCTTCGTGAATCTGGCCCCTGGGGGGAGATCACTCTACAGGAGATCGAGCCTCTTTTGTTTTCTTTTTTCTAGGGTCTTGTAGTGCTGTTGTCTTTTCCGAACACAATGGTCCAGGGTTCGATTCTAGTGGTATGACACACACGTTTCGGGTACGCTTTGTTTTACCTGATGCCTCTGTTTACCTACCAGTAAATGTATATACCCGGGAGTTATAGGCAACTGTTAGTGGCTTCCAACACCTGAGAGCTCATCATATAGTGCCTTCCAACACCTGAGAGCTCATCATATAGTGTCTTCCAACACCTGAGAGCTCATCATATAGTGTCTTCCAACACCTGAGAGCTCATCATATAGTGTCTTCCAACACCTGAGAGCTCATCATATAGTGTCTTCCAACACCTGAGAGCTCATCATATAGTGTCTTCCAACACCTGAGAGCTCATCATATAGTGTCTTCCAACACCTGAGAGCTCAACATATAGTGTCTTCCAACACCTGAGAGCTCATCATATAGTGTCTTCCAACACCTGAGAGCTCATCATATAGTGTCTTCCAACACCTGAGAACTCAACATATAGTGTCTTCCAACACCTGAGAGCTCATCATATAGTGTCTTCCAACACCTGAGAGCTCATCATATAGTGTCTTCCAACACCTGAGAGCTCAACATATAGTGTCTTCCAACACCTGAGAGCTCAACATATAGTGTCTTCCAACACCTGAGAGCTCATCATATAGTGTCTTCCAACACCTGAGAGCTCAACATATAGTGTCTTCCAACACCTGAGAGCTCATCATATAGTGTCTTCCAACACCTGAGAGCTCAACATATAGTGTCTTCCAACACCTGAGAGCTCATCATATAGTGTCTTCCAACACCTGAGAGCTCATCATATAGTGTCTTCCAACACCTGAGAGCTCAACATATAGTGTCTTCCAACACCTGAGAGCTCAACATATAGTGTCTTCCAACACCTGAGAGCTCATCATATAGTGTCTTCCAACACCTGAGAGCTCAACATATAGTGTCTTCCAACACCTGAGAGCTCAACA